TTTTTTTTTTTTTTTTTTTTTTTTAACCTGGTATGGTACTAGGGATTGAACCCAGAACCTCCACCCTGAGCTGCATTTCCAGCTCTACTTTTTTTTTATTTTAAATTTTGAGACATGGTCTTGTTAAGTAGTTAAATTGTCCAGGCTGACTTCGAACTTTCAGTACTCCTGCCTCAGCCTCCCAGAGTGCTGGGATCACAGATGCGTGTCACCATACCCAGCTAAATTCTCTCCAAATTTTCACTCAGAAATATTACTCCTACGAAATAACTTGAAAACTACTCTTGGGTTCTTGGTGCTATAATTTTAAGCTGTAATCAGCTATGACAAACACCTGATCCAGCAATAATCCAACCCAACCATAGAAGGAAAAGCCATGCAAAAGACAACTTGGGAACATGAGCAAAAGAAAAGGCACAGATGGGAACAGTGCGAGTTAACAAGACCCCCAAAAGCTAAAATGTCCACACCCCAGGTACCTTTTTCAAAAATGTTGCAGCAGTTTCTCTCTTTGTGGCTGTGATCCGCTTCACCCCATCTGGGGACTGGACACGAATTATCTGTTGTAAATGAAATAAGACTTTACCACATAGCCTCAAGCAGTCCTGATCTATTATTAAGGCTCACATCTTCAGGCATTTGGCATCAGGGTCACTGTGACCAAAAGCCAAATCTCACCATCCCCTTCAATACCCAGCTCAATCTTTCTAGTGGAGAAGTGAGGGCCAAGGTTTTTCAACACATGGCTCAAAACCTTAACCATTAGGCCAGGGATTTAGCTCAGTGGTTCTGCTGCTTGCCTTGCAAGCACAAGATCCCAAGTTCAATCCCCTGTACCAAAAAAAAAACCTTAACCATTTCACACAAAAAAATAAAACTAGTGATTAGTCACTGTTTATAAAGAATATATCTGGGCCAGGGATTTAGCTCAGTGGTTCCAGTGCCTGCTTTGCAGAGCACAAGGACCTGAATTCAATCCCTGATACCAAAAAACAGAATATATCTGAAATGGTTCCCCCTCTAATTTCAAACTTACAGAAAAATGAAACAAAACAGAAAACCCCCATCATGAATTATGAGTGACTGGGTTTTTTACAAAAACATCTCAAGCCAGGCAGGAGGCTGAGGCAAGAACATCGCTGTGAGTTTGAGGCCAGCCTGGGCTTTAGAGACCTTGTTTCAAAAAACCAAAATATATATATAATTTTGTTTCACAATTTATACAAAGATAACATAATTAGACTGACATAAAAGGGTCACAGAAAATCTTCTAATTTGTTACTTACTTTTAATAGAAAGATTAAAACTAAAGAAATAACAGTCCTTAATACCACGGAATATTTACTGGAGTTTTAAATTTTTTTCTTGCCAGGCCTGCAAGACTACTAGACAAAGTACCCACTTTCCAAGGCCTGATTTTTATACTGCTGGAGCCCTTCTGAGGGTGTGCTACTATGCTGGCCACTGTACCAACTCTGCTGCAGTCAGGGACCCCTGCTGCAAACCAGTAAGCTACTTCCCCATCACCTGAGGGGCAGGAGGAGAGACACACAGGGTTACGCCAGAAAATGCTCACATTGTAGTTTCCTCTCAGCAGTTACTGACAGTGTGCTGTGCTTGGACACTATGAGATGGAAAAATGTCACAACACATTTTTTTTTTTAACACATTGTTTTAAAAAAAAGATTTCTGCCAAGCTGGCTCTGATGGCACACACCTGTAATCCCAGCACTTGGGAGGCTGAGGCAGGAAGAGCACTGTGAGTTCGAGACCAGTCTGGGCTATGTAGTGCATTCCAGGTCAGCCTCAACTACATAGCGAGACCCTGTCTCAAAAAAAAAAAAAGTTTTCTGCCGCTGCCTGCCTCAAAAGGGCAATGGCCCTTCGATCCTCAA